GTGCAGTACACTTTGCATCAGCTTGTGTGTAGAGCAGACTTGATTAACTGAGTGTGCTCCAAAGCAGTGGATCTCTGGCATGTCATGGGACAAAAAGATAGGTGTATAAGTGCCCTGAGCTTATTTCTGCTCTTCTCAGAATGTGGGAGAGTTCAGAACCTGCAGAGAGCCCTTACAAGACCAGCTGGGAAAGCATCCTATTGAATAATGTGAAATAAATACAAAATGTATTGACTAAAGTAAAATATGTAAGAAATGTCACTATTAGAACTGGTAGGAATGTATCTTTAAGGAGAAAAATTGACTATTTAGGAGAAGGGAATTTCTGCAGTTTAAACCAAAATATTTTTTCCTTCGTTTTCTTCTTCCCTTCTCCCACACTTCCAGTGATAAAAAAGGAAAAAGGGTGAGGGTTTTGAAGGAAAAGGCAAAAATCTGGAAAAAAAAAAAAAGCATCTTTTTAATTAAAAAATGAATATATGGAAATCACATCTATCCAAAATATGTAGCAAGAAAACTACCGAGAAAGCAGGTTTAGGTTTGGAGAGCAAATTTAGGTTAGACATCAGAAAGAACTTGTTTATGGTAAGGGTTGGCAAAATCTGGAATGGGCTTCCAAGGAAGGTGGTGCTCTCCCCTACCTTGGGGGTCTTTAAGAATAGGCTAGACATGCACCTGACTGGGGTCATGTGAACCCAGCGCTCTTTCCTGCCCAGGGCAGGGGGTTGAACTCCATGATCTGCTAAGGTCCCTTCCGACCCAAACATCTCTGAATCTACTTAGATGGCTTATTTCCCCCAGTCTTCCTTTCCCTCCATGTATTCCAACTAGCTTAAATTGTTGCTTAGCCCAGAAAATATATTTCACTTCCTGTATGGTAACGACCGATTTTTATCTTTATGGATACCATGAAAGGTAAACAATGACAAAAAGCAAGGAAAGATTTATTATTCAAATTGAACATTTCCAACTGAGAATACTGAAGCAGTAAGTCATTTTCTTCATCTTGAGTTCAATGGAATTAGTTCTTGTCTGTAGTAATGTAAATGGATGGAAAATCAAGCTATTAGTATTGAAATAACAGTTAAATGCAGGAATGAAGAATGGGTCAAATCTTAAAAGCTTGCCCTTCCACAGTGTTTTTTTCCCCAGGTTTCTAAAACAGTGTGGCAATTTCTTTTTTTTTTTCTGTATCCTTGTATTTTCTTTCCAAGAGACAAAAATGGTTGTTACATTAAAATGATACTATGCTTTTATGTTTGTATCATGTACTATTCATCACAAGATAATCTATTGCTAGCATACATGTTTTTAATGATTTTTTTGTGAAACTGTGAGGAAAAAACACCATTATGATGAAACTTGGACAAAAAGTTTAAATGAAGCCAAGTAGATCTTTCTTTGACAGTCTTAAGGAGATTTTATCTTGGCATTAGTGAGATTTACTGCTACCTGAAAATAGAGAGGTTGATAATACTGTGGAGAAATGCAGGGCTGTGGAAACCACAGCTTAGAGAGAAGCCTTCAATACATTTCTGGTCTGACATTTCTATGATTTTGTAACTTCATGCATGAAAAAAATCATTTGGTAAAAATAACAAAAGGTCATAAAGAAAGCTAAATTTGTGGTGTGGCTGGAACGTGGTTGTTTTTGCTTCCTGAATTTCGTATCAAGATATATCAAGCTCTGAGCAAAAAAAAACTTCCTGTATATAGCCAGTTCTTCACTCTGAGTAGCAGTAAAAGAGAAATTATGAATTCTTTATAGGGGCTAACAAATCTGTTCTTTTCAAGAGTGATGTATTAAAGAAATCCCCTCAGGGTGCTAATTGCTTTTCCTTGTTACTTGAAGGCAAAGTCAGCAAATTAAATTTTTGGAGTTCTCCCTACATAGTATGGCTAACTCAGGGCCTTCATTTCTGGTCCCTCTACATAAATGATGAGCAATTGTTCAGCTGCTGTCAGCGTTGCTGCCTGCCTGCAATGGGAATAAGCATGGCCTGTTGTGTAGCCACAAACTTGCTGTGTGACTCCACACAAGCCACTTAACCTCTGTGACTCTTTGGACCCTGGTCAGCATTATACTTAAGATATGGTTAACCATTTAATCACATCTTAAGTAATTATGCTACCATAGATTCAGTCAATTTATGGAAACTTATGATAAAATGGAATAAGCCACAAAATCATTACGCAACATTTATGTAATGACTTTGTGGATGGTTCCTATCATGCCTTAAAGTGAAAGCATGGCTAGCACCAATCAGCTGACCAGCACTCCCAACTTGGGAGTGCACCAGAGGCTGGAAGGTCTTGTTGGCTGACCGGTGCTTCTGGCTGCAGGGGCGCACTGGCAAGGGCTCTGATATGCTCTCAGCTACAGGGACACCCTGGGCATCTTGTTTGCTACTTGCTAGTGCAGAGGGGCTCCAGGATCATGATCTGATCCCTGCACTAGCAGTAGTGCACAATTCAGATCTTATCCCCAATTCCAGAATCACACCTCCTGCCACCCATATGTGGCATAGCAAGATGCACAATTTTTGGAATCACAGATCAGATCCCATTGCGCCTTTAATTGAACATCTAACAGTGACCCTGGTTCACTCATCTTTGAAATAATAATAGGTCACACATTGTGCGGTTAAAGCACTTAATGTTTATAAGGTATCCAGGTTGTAGCCATGTTGGTGTAGAGGAAAAAGCAATAAGGACTTGTGGTAGAGGTGATATTTTTTATTAGACCAACTAGATTTTTGAAAAAATCTAAAGATTTTTCTAAAAATTGAAATTTCTAAATTTTTCCCTAAAATTTAAAGAATTTTTTTGCAAAAATCTAGTTGGTCTAATAAAAAATATCACCTCTACCATAAGTCCTGATTGCTTTCATGTTTATAAAGCACTTTTAGATACTGAATAAAAGGTGCTAAAGCATTGCAAAGTCTTGTCTGTGGTCATTTATCTCTTAAGAATTTTAAATCATTGTTATCTGCATGTTGTTTCATTGTAAGTGGCCTACAGGAAGATCAAAATTTTCTTTGGGTGGGATGCTTCCTTATGAATACAGAATACTACAGCTTAAAAGATGTGTGTCTTCATTGCGTGTAGATTGTTACTTCTGGATTATTTTCTGCCATCAGCCCTTACATTTTTTTAATGTTTTGAATGGAATGTTCTTTACATTTATCTTTCCTAAAAGTCTAAGAAATCCCGACTCTAGTATTCTATATGTGAAGGAGAGCAGAGTGCATATGAACTTCTGTATAATGCACAGCAATAGCTTTAGTTAGAGCAGTGGTCTCCAACCTTTTTATGGTGAAGATCACTTTTTGTAAGTAAAGGGCACCCCAGGATCTACTGCCCCCAGCCCTGCCCCCTGGTCCCCACACTGTCTTCCTGGGCCTGCCCCTCCCAGCCCCCCCGGGACAAACTGCTCAGGCTCCGACCCCACTCACCCAGGCCAGCCCAGGTGGCAGGGGGCAAGGCTCAGCCCAGCCACGTGCATCCTGCTGCTTCCAATTGTGGAGCCTCTGACAGACTGAGATTGACTGTCAGAGGCTGCACGACTGACCACTGGGTTAGAATAACAAGTCACTGTTGATGACTTTAGGCTTCCACTTTTAATATTTACTCCAGAAAAGCTTTTTTGGGTTTGCAGCTTACTGAAATTCTTGGTCCATGTCCCCGTCTATAAAACGGATTAAGTAATACTTTCTTACCTCATTAGGGTATTTTGAGGAAAAATACATTCATCATGAGGTGTTTGGATACTGCTCTGAAAGGGTCATAGAAAAGGCTATAAAAATAAATTGCTTTGGAAATGTCCGGTTCAATAATCTAGATTGCTTTGTATAATGTGACTGTGGATTATTCCTGGTGAGGCATAATGTATAAAGTACAGTTAAGTGGATGTTATAGTGCAGTGGCTCACACTACCTCAACTAATCTCAATGTATTTCAGTACAAGAAGCAGCGGGACAGAACTTGCATATATCTCTCAGGAACCAATAGTTGCTGCAGGATGAGTTGCTGATAGTTAGGACATAGTGTTTTGTTTTCTGATAGTACTGAACCAAAGTCCCTCTTTTTCTACAATATTTTAGCCTACGAACTAAACAGTTAATTATTTGTGTGTATTTTACACATCTTTCCAACTAATGTCCTGCTGGTATCAGTGTCTAATTAAATATTGAGACAGAAGCTTACTGATGCAGAAGTGTGATAACTTCCAAGTTAGCCAGACTGATGTCTAGATTTAACTCTTTATATTCTCTTTTTTTTGTCTATTGCCCACAAAGTATTCTGTTACTGCTGTCCAGGTAGATGCCTTTTCAGTCTTCAGCACTCAGTCGAGTACCAAGTTGCTAGTGGTACTGTCTTTTTGGATGAGACATAAAATAAAAGTTCTGACCCATTAATAAATTCCAAAGCACTTTTTCCCACAAGAATCGCAATATTCTGTGTCCTAACACAATTCTTGCACAGGTAATCATCTCTTTTTTTTTTCTACTGATAAACCATCTGCAGTTTTAGTTGGATGATATAATTCAGTCCCTTCGCTAAATTGTAATGTAAAGTGTTGGTGTGTTCACTCCAACAGTTTCTAGGTTTCAAAAAGGAGGTGGCCATATTTAAATGGTAAGTGAGAGAATTTTTGTAGTTTGTGCTATGAAGCTTACATTTGTAAAATGTCTTGTGGTTTTTGGGGGCAGAAACATTATCAGTGAACTGTTACTATTCTGGGCAGTGCAACTAATGGTATTTCTGTGCTGTGAACATTCTATTTCTGTTTGCCGTAATCAGAACGAGGAAGATCAACCAGATGTCTAGGGGAAAGTGTAATCTTGGAACAGCAATTCTGAGGAAAAGCAAGTAATTCACATAAAATATTGAAACAAGATGTGCATATCCAAAATAACAGGAAGTAAGGGGAGCATAGTTATCATTTAAGCTTCTTATGGATATTTCTTTAATAACATGAACTGTTATATTTTCTACAGTATTACCAGATGAGAAGGAGTTTCAGTATGCTGCTAAAATGAACAATTTGGAAATCATGGAGAACTTAGTTAAGAAGAAGGTTAATATTAATGCTGTAAATATTGTGAGTACAAAGTACTGTTTGACAGATTGATGATAAAAAATACAGCTTGTGTTTGGTGGTTAAGTGAAATCTCAAAAACACCAGTGTATTTGCTTTTAGCATGAGAAGCCTAAGCATTACCTTCTGGAAAAGTATTTGAATAAGTTGTCAGATAGAGCACCTCCAAACTCAGCGAGTGCAAGGAGCTTAATAACTCTAGGTCTAGGCCTTTGAATCTGTAGTGTTAAAAGTCTATGCTCAGGACTGGGAGCCAGGGTTCGAATTACTCTGACTCTTGGGGGTCGGGCAGGGGCAGGAATGGTTGGTGGCAGTGGTAGCAAAAAGGAGCCGCTGCTGCCACTGCCTGAGCTGCTTAGAAAGGCACAGGGAGGGCTGGGGGATCTCATTTCTTATGGTGAGGCTTATGGGGGACTCTTGTCTCCTATCAGGGGGCTCTCATCTGTTATGGGGAGCCTTCCTCATTTCGAACCCTGCTGGGATCCCAGAGCTGCTGAATTACATTCTCTGCCCTGATACTGATGTTGTGGTCTTGCGCAATTATCTTAATTTCTCAGTTCTAATTTTCCCCTCTGTATAATATGTAACCTCACATTTTTTAGAGTTGATTGATGCAGGTACCATCCTTTATGGATTGAAATTGCAAGTAGTGCACCGTTCAGTGTACACTGAAACACAACTGTACTTTACTGGAAACTTTTGACTGATGAGTGAAATCTGAATTCAGGCCTGGTGAATAAATGGAATTCCACTGATGTCCTTTAGACCATTGGTCTAAATTTGATCTAGGATATTTTATGCAATGCGTTGTAGAGTTTAAAGACAAATACTAGCCCAGGACATCTCCTATTAACAATGTGTGGGCCTTTGTCCCTTTCCAATGGCTGGTCTACTGCATTTCATTTCCCTTTTACAACCCATCCAGGGGTTGAATGTTCTAATACTACTTGTCCCAAATTATTGAGTTTTTTCTTTGCCTTGTATATGTATTCTGTTGCGGGTGGGAGGAAGTGGGCTGTTCTGTATGTTTTCTGTGGACAGAAAAAACAACCTGCATGTGGAATCCTAAATCCTTCTTTTTAAAAGAAAGATAAAGGATCTTTGTAATTACATTCTCTCGAACGAGAATATTTTTCCATCAATATATGTTGCTTGCTTCTTAGGCACAGATAGTGGAATTCAAGGATGCAGAAAATAGTTGCTGCCTCCATATTGCTTTACAGGACTCAAGGGATTAAAGCAATAGTATCCCATTTCAGAAATATGCTGTCCAACTCTCTGATCCAAAATAGATTTCAGCCTGGTCTACAGTAGGAGAACTATGCCAGAGTAGATATACTGTAGTGCAGGGGTAGGCAACGTTTTTGGCTGGAGTGCCGAAACCCCCCACAATGCCCACCTTGGAAGGTGCCAGAGTGTCAGCATGCCAGAAAAACAAAATGAGGGCAGGGTGTACATGGCAGGATGCCCTGCATGTGCCCCTTGCCCCTGCCCCCCAGCCCTGTTGCCCCTTGCTCCCCAGCCCTGCTCATGACCCTTGCCTTGCACCCAAAGCCCTTGTCCTCCACCCCTGCTGCCCCTTGCCTCCCACCCAAAGCTCCTGCCCCCCAGCCCTGCTCATGACCCTTGCCTCCCACCCAAAGCCCTTGC